AATCGCTGAACACTGGTAGTTCGAATCCCGCAAACGGGCTGGCTGCATGGGCGTTTTCGTGGTTTTCCCTATGTGTACCGTGTATACGAGCCAGTTTCCCTTAGAAAGTCCTCCACGAAGGCATCCCTCCCCTTAGGCAGATAGCCCTCGTGTGCTTTGCCATAATTAAATACACACACACACACACATCTTACACAAAGAAAAAAAAAGAGGAGACAGACAGTTCTTCCTTTCTGTTGGGCTGATTGACGAAATTTAACTTGCATATTTTATGTCTCAAGAGCTGGACTTAGAATATATATTTAGATTTCTATATAGCATTTTTCTAACATAGATATTTTAATACGAAATTGGACTTTCTCTGAAATGACATACCGATGTTTTCCCGTATTGCTATTCTACGACTCCAATTACGCCTAAGTATTAAATTCTGTAAAATTCAGTGAGAAACTTATCAAGAAATTTAAACATTTATCTTGGCCACCTTTTTTATGTTAGCGCCAAGAATAATTCACTTGGCAAAATTCTTAATTCATGGCAACCTATTTTCTTTTCTCTTTGATTGTTCACGAGCTGAAAAAAAACCGCATTATTCATTCTTTCGAATAATTTTAACAAAGTGCGTCAACCACATTTGACGTTATTATACTAGCTTATAACAAACTAGAAAGTACGGCAGTCGGCTGTTCTAGATATTGTAAATTGTAATTAAAATGATTTGTGCAAAGGTGTCTGCTAATTCAAACTGAATTACCCAGAGCAGGCGGCGAGGACGCCCCTTTGCTTACTGCCCCCACGGGGTTTCCCCCTTCTACTTGCTTAATTGCTTAAAGTAGAGTGCAATGAAGGAAACCACGAGTGGTACATTTCTTAAGGGCCATCGCTAGCTCAATAAATAAAGGTGATTTAAATCATAAAATGTTCATTCACATGTTAAAGATCTCTCTGTACACAACATTTCCTGTGTAGATCTTTCCATCATTTTAAGCTCGCCTTGCAGAGTACCATCCATTATTTTTAATTTTACGTCCGTTCTTTCACGAACGCTTGAACAGGCAACATAAAGTTGACCATGTCCAAATGTAGGCTCAGGAAAAAGGATGCCACATGCTTAAGCGTTTGGTCCTGAGACTTATGGATGGTCATAGCAAAGGCAAGTTTTTCAGGAAATTGCCTTCGTCTCAACTGAAGCGGTAACCCTGTGCCGTGGCAACTTCACCTCATTGGCTAGTACACCTACGTAAGCAACGAATAAACTATCGGCGACAAACAGACACTTAAGCCGCATATAATAAAGATATTTCATTTTACTTGTTTCTTTATCGTTGCCTGCTAAGCCTAACGAACCGCCATTTGTTTACATATGAAACTCAGTACAATAGTGAATTAAGTCAGTTTCTGCAACTTGAATGTCTTTTTGCTGAGTGGGACCAAAAATAAACTTTCGGTCTTGTGCACCGAAAAATCTACTTTCTTGTTTTCTGGACGAATTGCTTGTTTTTGCATAGAAACTCTAATTTTAATCGTAAAAAAATTTTTTATTTGACTGTTTTTAACTGAATTGAACGTTTTTCTCCGTTTCCCAAATTTTAATGAAGGTTTTTTGAGTTTTATAAATTTCTGCTTTCCCCGAAGTGAGAACTTATGAGAAATATATCTCTAATTAAATTAGAAGAAATAGATTTGAATGAAATGCAGCAAAAAATGTGTATAATTTAATAGACCCTACAAGGAAGTCATGTGGTATCTGCATAAGATTTTTTCACAATGCGAGAAACATACATACTTTCATGCAGAATCCTTCATTATTTAATTTCTTTAAATATAATACAGTGCGGTAACATTTGGTAGAAGCAAAATGCCGTTTCGAGACTTATAGCCCTTCTGGTTTAACGCCCTTTTGGGCTAAATATTTAATTTTATTCAGGGGAAAATAAAAATGCACTTGAAATCTAATACCAAATTCCATTCTAATAACAGAAAAACATCTGAAAGCTTTCAGATTTTACATTACGCCCAAAACGGCGTATTTTTTTAACATTTTTGTGTGTTACCTTTATTTATTAAATATTATGCTCTTCGTACTTAAACCGTAGAATTCAATACAACAGCAATATCGTAAATAATTTTAAAATGAGGAGCATATTTGTAGGATTTCCGATACTCAGTCTCGCGCGCTGCAGATAATTTTTTCCCCCGTACAATGTTGCTATTGTTCCCTTTGAAATCGTGAGTTTGTTAATCAAAAATTCGTTAAAGCGTTTAAAAATATGAAATCGATTATAAAACAAATTCCAAATTAGGGCTTCCAGATGCTCATATTCATTGGAGGATTACGTCATTCAAAATTTGATGGCTCTAGGTACCTTTGTTTCATCACAATGCGAGAAACATACATACATTCATGCAGCTTCTTCATTATTTAATTTCTTTAAATATAACACAGGGCGATAATATTTGGTGGCAACAATTTGGAAAGTGAAACGGATGTTTAAAGGTTTAGACGCAAAATGCCAAAACGAAATTAATAGCCCTTTGGGCTAATAATTAATTTGATATTCAGATCAAGTTCTCTTTTTAATGGAAACAAAATTCTTTATGCAAAAGAAACGGTCTACATAGTTCGAATCATTACACCGACTTGCATTTAAGAATTTCAACATCATCATTCACTTTTTAATTTATTGACTCTTAATTTCTTTAATAAATAAACAAATAAGAAAAAGGGTAATTAAGTTGTTGCTATTATGATGTGTTCCATATTTACGAACAAACGTGGCATTGTTTTGAATATTTAAATTTTTTACTGCGTTTGCCGCTACCTTATTTACTCCAGTATATCGACTTGTGAAAGGAAACTTTAATAATTTAGTAACTATCTAAATTGTTGAGATATACAACATGACTATCATTCTACGCGGATTGGAGAGAAATGAGATGCGCAAATATAACTACGCAAAGAAACAACTCGTAAAACATATTTTTGTACCCGAAAATGCACTTAGGAAAATTGCTCTTTGGACTGATCGATCAATATCCAGGGAATATATATTCTGTGTTATTATTCCATCATTTCAGAGTGACCTAAAATCGAATCTAGTAAACATTCTTTGTCGTCTTGGTTTGTGTACTCTAAATTATTCACTCACCTTGTATCTTCAGCTTATATATTTGCGTGCTGCTGGGAGTTGGTTTGGGGGATTGGTTTGGTGATTCGAATTTGTTTCACTTTTACCATGGTTACCTAGGACAGTCTACATTTAATGGACGTCGAGCGGTTTGGATCCAGTTGTCGGTAGGGCTAAAGTTTTAATGTCGAAATGGGCCTCCATTACTGGAAGTGTTGAAAACAGAAAGTGGTATTTTTGAAATTCACTACGTGGTGTAAAATGGAGCTAAAAATATACTCAATTTTGTAAATGCTTAGTTTAAGTCTTTTGTTTTTGTAATGCTCAATTATCTTTAGTTTACTGTTAAAAAGTTTCATGAGATATTTATTCAACGAATCCAGTTAAAATTTTTCTATTTATTTATCTTAACTTACTTTTTATACTTTCTAAATTTTACCACATCTTCTACTTTTCAGTTTTTTGATGCATTACTTACTCAAGCACATATAATCTAAAACAATTAATTAAAAAAAGTCTGAAAGATTTCAGATTTTACATTACACCCAAAGGGGCGCTTTTTCTGTTCATTGCCTTTATTTATTAAAAATCATGCTCTTCTCACTTAAACTATAAAATTCAATTCAACAGTAATATCGCAAAATAACTTAAAAAGAACATATCTTTAGAATTTCCGATACACAGTCTCGCGCGCTGGAGGTTTTTTTTTTTTTTTTTGTACAGTGCTGCTCGCTTTGAAATCGTTGAGTTTCTTAATAAAAAATTCGTTAAAGTGTTACAAAATATGAAATCGATAATAAAGCAAATTCCAAATTCCAAATTAGGGCTTTCAGATGCCCATATTCGGTGGAGGATTACGTTATTCAAAATTGGATGGCTCTAGGTACCGTTTTCTCTATCACAATGCAATAAACGTACATACATTTATGCAGAGTCTTCATTATTTAATTTCTTTACTTATAATACAGGGCTCTAATATTTGGTGGGAACAATTAAAAAAGTGATTCACCGTTTACAAATAAAATCGATCCAAAATGCCAAATCGAAATTAATAGTCCTTCTGGGCAAATTGCTGCTTTGGACTAATGATGAAAAGGAAAAAATGTATATATAGTTTTTTAGAATCCGCAAATTTCACACAGCCTAACAAGCCTTACACATATTCATTTACTAAGGGATTAACTTGGGTCTCAAAGTTTTACTATTGATACCTCTTGAATATCTTCAAGTAAATGCCGTGTTACCATGAAAGGTTGAAATAATAATTTTTGTATGGTTTCTATACGAAGAAATTTAAAAGAATTCTCAGGTTCTTAAAATATTTAGTTACAAAATTTAATAAACAAAAATATTTTAAATGCCAGCTCCATTCAAATGATCATTAAAATAATAAGTTATTGCTAAATATTTTAATAAAGATTAATTAAAATAATTTTATAAATGTTCAGGATTGAAAAACTTTGATAGATAAACAAATTTATTGCTTCATTATAAAGGTGTTTAAAAGTTTGCATGATTTTAAATAATTTTAAAACTGTTAATATGATATAAAATATTTTTGCCAGTAGATTGCCATTTCAAGCAGCACAAAATCTTTAATTTGTCTTCATAATTAAACATAGTGCGTTTCTTAATAAAATGATAAATTTGAATGCAATTCATATAATTTTTTATATTAATTTACATTTTTATTTTATTCCGTCCAGTGAAAATAAATCTATTATAATTTCGGCGAGTATAGTGTAAGTTAATATATACCTAGGGATCGTATTAAGCTCATAAAAGTGCTCGTGTTGCTAATCAGTATTTAGATTAGAATTAGTATTAATTTAGGCAAAGCAATCGAAGTCATCTGCCTAAGTTCCATCAAAGATGATCAGACAGACCTAAAAGATGGAGTCTTCTCTCTTACCCTATTAATATCGTCTCATACGTAATTCCAGATCTACATATTGCAAGTGCTCCCATTGTGCTAAAGTATTAACTCATAAATGTCCATATCTTGTCAAAAAATTGGTCCAAGCCATGTACATTCAGCCTCCTCTAATCGTCACATAGTCCAATACGTGGCTCATATTCTATAAAATAAGAAAATGGCTTCAGAACAGCAGTTTTCGTTTTAAATTATAAAGAAATTAGGTTATTCTTGAAGCAGGAAAGATGAAAAATGAGCAATGCAATAGCCAGGACTCGAACAACATATACTCCTCCTTTTAAAGGGCGACTGAGGATTAGGAGACAAATCCTGGTGGTGGAGAATCATCATCCACCACCATTTTTAGTTCAGGCGCCACTGTAAAGGCATTATGTTATTTCGAAGCAGGAGATAAGCGACGGAGGACGTGGGCACTGTTCCTTTACTATTAGGTTAATCAGTACAACACCACGCCCACCCTTATCTAGAGTTGGCCAGTTGGTGTGGCCACAGTAGAACCTCGCACAAGACGCCCAGATCCAGCGCCTAGAGCCTCCGGTGGGTTTCGAAGCAGGAGAGATGCCTTCGCCGGGGACTATTGTGTACCAAAATATAAGCGTATATACGCTTTTGTCTATATGTAATTGTGTATGTCTTTGTTTATATGTAATTGTACCCATGTATCTACTAGTGTTATCACATATCTTGGCACTGTATAGTTAATATACATCTATTACGCACGGATAATCATGTACCTAATGTGTCTGTATATATGTATATGAATTTATGTTCTGTATATATGATAATGTAACTATGCATCTGCACATTTTATCCTGTAACACGGCACCGTATCGCAAAGAACTAACTAGAGCCCCACTCTAAAATTAATTGCACTAAAGACACTGTACTACACAGTACTAATCTAGGGTCTAACTTTTAATTCACTGTACTAATTACTTATTCCAGCATAACATTGCGCACCTAATATTTCATCAGTATGTACATGTCTTCTGTAATCTAATGATAATGCTTCAAAGGGTCATAGTGTACTCAACATATGAGTACACACGTTATGTATATATGCTATCGTATCCATGCTTTTGCATACACGTTGTAACATGGCAATGTATTATCCAGTGTCTAACATTAATTAGCTTTAACGCCACTGTATGAAGTACCAAATTTGTATGTATGTTTATATATTAGTATATTAGCACAATGAACACGTATGGTTATCTAGATAAAGGTGGACGTGGCGCTATACCGATTAACCGTATTGGTAGAGGGGTGGTGCCCACGTCCTCCGTCGCATGTCGCATGCCTTCGCCGGGACTCGAATCACGGACCTCTCGAACGCGCCGAGTGTTCTGATCACCACACCACGAAGGTTTGCTAAGAAGTCGGGAGAAATATCTTATATAATGTTAATTTAAATTCGAACCTGATTTTTCTAAGAAGTAACTAAGCAAGGGAAGGTTCCAAATCGCAAAATCTGAACTGAAATCAAAATGTGAAAACTTCGAAATCATTTTATAAATCCTGTATCAAATGGAATATCACGGAAGAATCATTCAGAAAGTAAAATAAAAAGAATATTGAAAAAAAAATAATACTTATATTCGTGCTAATACATCTGATAATGAGCTACTATGCCTTTACATTTTCTTTTATACATATTTTGCAAAATGCAGTTAATATTTTTTCTGTTAATAATTTTATACAACATTTCTATGCATTGCTTCCCATTTTAGCTGTAGATAGTCACTTTTGCGGCCCGCATGATAAAGTCTTAAAAAAATAGTTTTACACTAACCACACAATAGTAAAAATTAAAAATAAAGATATGAAATTATATGTTTGGCAGACTGCACAACATCTGAAAACTGGACAGGTTTTTCTTACACATTTTAAGTTTTGAAAAGTCCTGTCATGTATTTTCCTCAATCCAACCTCTAGAAAACAAAGCTTAGGTCCACGAATTTCAAAACGCGGGTTCTTGTCGTCGAATGAGGAAAACTCGTTGCAAACGCTATCTCATAAACGCAACGTGGCAGCTCAATCGATTTCCAAAATGCCCGACGGTTGAAGCTGCTTAAATATAATTTCCATCAAGTTTGTCTCACGCGAAGGACATTTTCTAACTCGTTATGGCAAATATTTTGCGTGAGACAGATTGACACCTGTCTATTTTATTTCCAAAAAGGGTCAAGGCCATTCGCAAAAAGATTGCACAATTTCAATCTTCGTCCAAGGCTCGTAGCGCATCATGGACATCACTCAAAATTTTATCAAAGGTGTCAGTTGATTAAGAAATGATTCAGTTAACATGCAAAGCCAGAACACTTGTTCATCGTAGATTTCTTGACATTCTGAAGAAATGAAAATTGTTAAGATGAAGAAGTTCGCAAAAAAAATTTATTTTGCAATATGTTTTGCCGGTGGTATTTGTAATGATGGAGTAAAGGGCATGAGTTTTTATACATTGAGCATCTGCATGATTTATCATTCCGAAATTGCGTTGTTAGTTATAAATCATCAAACACACGAGGCAACTGACAAGTTGCTCGTCTTATAAGTTCCTAGCTGAAAAAACAAGCAACGTATAAATCATAACTCTCCCAGCGCAAAATATTTCATTGTTCCCTTTTTGACGAAATATTTTTAACTACACCATATTTTACAATATATCCTTATCCCCTTGGGTACGGATTTATTTGAGAAACGTTTTGCATCTGGAACGGATATAATTTTTGGTTGCGATTCATCAATAGCTACTTCACTTTAGGAGTATAAATGTAACAAAATTTAGTATTTAGGTAATCCACTATATTTCTAATCTTCCTTATTCTGTCATCTTGATTTTCCTCTTCAGTATCCGTAAAATGTAGAAAGTTTGAAATATCAAAAGCCTATCGCGTGCCAAAGTGCTGGCAAAAATTGGAGTACTTATTGCATATCGTTTTGACCAATACATGTGCATTTTTGGCTTCTTCATGTGCGACATCAAGATGCATAATGCAATATAAGCTTTCATTTCATCAGAACTTACAGGAAACTATTTTTTTTTTACACAACCTTCATTTTCTATCCCTTGTCTGGTATATCTATTCGTCTCTTCTACTATAGTGTCCCAAAAATCTTCATTCAAAACATTTAAAGGCGTAGGATTACTACCTAGTCTACGCAAGCTCAAAGGATTAATTCCAGATATTTCAGAAAAACTTTTTATATCGGCTACATTTTCTTCTTCTTCCCAAATCCATTCCTCTGATACTGGTTCACGAGAAGATTCACTATCACTGCTCGATAGACGTCTTGTGCGTCTTCGAAACCTTGATATTATATTACAATTGTCATCATTTTCTAGTTCAATATCGTCTTCATCACCTTCGCTTTGTATTTCATTGTAATTGTCAAATTTCAGGATCACTAAATAATTCTTCTTTAGATTTTCTTAAAGTCACTTTCGCTATCACTATCATAAAATATATTCCTTGTTTTTGACATAATGGGGCAGTGTATAGCAAATAATGTTCACCGAAATACTTGTAATTGCCTCTTCTATTATGATCTGATACAAGCTACAATGAAATGAACAGAATTGTGCACCCTAACCTCAAATAATGTTTTAGACATGTCATCCGCTCCTAGGGAAAACAAGTGAATGTCGTCTCTCAGACGTCAAATGTACCCAAGAGTTTAATTTTTGGTTTGACGTCAACCGCTCCTAGGGGAAAAAAGGGAATGACGTGTCTCAGACGTCAAATGTACCCAAGGAATTAAACAAGGGCATATTATACAATCTGTTTTTAAGTTGATGTGAAACACGTGATCGCAAGAATTAGCCATATTCTTGTCCTGTATATTTTTAAGAATGTTTACCCATTTGACTGAAGTAACACGTTGCGAACTTTTGAGCAATTTATGCTGAGAGCCTAAAGCAGAGAATATGTCTGCAAGGTTTTTATTCGTAGAAATTCGAACGTTGAAGATAACAATATTTTTACTTCTTAGTATTCTTAATACAATCCTTGTATGTACACACAACACTTATTGCGTTCATGCAACTATTTGATTCCTTCGGAAAAATCATCTTTTGGAATATTGCTCAAGTCTCTGGTTATAGCTTTCTAAATTCGTTAATAATATTAAAATACCGATCTCTGAGGGAGGTTTATGGGAGGACTTAGAATACTTTACTTTTACTAGTTACTTTTCGGCCAGAACTTTTTGATGATAATAGAATTCTATGACACCGCTTTGTAGTTCAGCAGAAACACAATTTCGATTGAGCTTTTGCAATCTTAACCTGATGAGTTCGCTTTCGAAGTCCCGTCTATTAAGTCTATACAAAATATTTTTTTTTTCGAATGGCGGGCACTATTTTTTTTTCCGACATTGGCCACGCCTTAGATCGGAAATGGTGTCCATTTTATTCTGGAGGCACCTAACAGGCGACCACCGTCCCCCCTATGAAGGGACGGACAGTTATAGCCATGCCTTCTCCGGAATTCCAACCCAGGCCTTCGATGGCTGCCCTAATTATACCACTATGCCATCAGGGCGGCTCTATACAAAATATGGAATTTACTGATTGTGTTTTAGACATAAATTTCTTATGAATTACCTTTTTCACAGTCAAGAAATGTCACTAAGATGGTCTTTATTCGGGAGTTCTGAAACCGAAACTACTGTGGCCATGGTAAACCTTCTTCACTTCAAAACGATAATTTGAGTTTTGACTCGGGAATGTAACCATTGCTCCAAGTTTTGAGTCCAGTCAAAATTTGTTTGGAAAAGGTCAAGATTAATATCCATCATTTGGATTGAATCTTCAGATGCAGAAATCCCATCATTCTTCCATACTGCTGTCATATTAAGAGGGAAAAACTAGAGCAAAGTTTTCTTTTTTTCAAGATCCACGTTGATTTTGTGAGCAATGTATTTACTGATGTTAAACTTATCAGATACCGTTCACAGAGACAGGTGATAAATTTTCAGCAACCACAATCGAATGTTTTCGAAATTCCCATCAGTCTGAGTCTGTGAAAATTATCATTCTCAAGTTCATCATAAAAATGTCCACGTCCGTCACAAAATCCTCCGTACCAATAAAAAACATTGGATTGTATTATGGCTTGATTCGCATTCTCTCCTTCCAGCATTCTTTCGTGGTGTAACGATAACACACATGGCACGTTTTCGAGAGGTCCAGATTCGAGCCCCGGAGACGGCAATGGACATCTTTCACGTCTCCAGTTAAAAAAAAAAAAACCTAATGACTTTACAGTGGCGAGCTAAGTAAAAAGGTGGTGGACCCTGCGTCACCACCAGGATCAGGTGACTAAGCCCCTTAACCCCCCAGTCACTTTTTGAAAGGGGGAGTATATAAGGGTTTTTCTCCATCCTTCTAGCATGCCTTCGTGATGTAATGGTAGCACACTCGACGCGTAATCGAGAGCTCCAGGTTCGAGGCTGGGGCATTGTTCATTTTTAATATCGCCTGCTGCAAAGTAACATAATGGATTGGATTGGATTATTCAAGTATGGCAAAGCACACGAGAGCAATCTGCCTAAAGGGAAGGATGCCTTCGTGGAGGATTTTCTAAGGGAATCTGGCTCGTATACACGTTACAAATGGGAAACACGAAAACACCCATGCAGCCAGCCCGTTCGCAGGATTCGGTTTGGTTTAGGTTTATTAGATTACGGCAAAGCACTCGAGGGCTATCTGCCTTAAGGGATGGGATGCCTTCGTGGAGGACTTTTTAAGGGAAACTGGCTCGTATACACGTGGGGAAAACCACGAAAACACCCATGCAGCCAGCCCGTTCGCGGGATTCGAACCTCGGACCGAACTACCAGTGTTCAGCGACTTTACCGCTCGGCCGCTGGTGGGCGTTCGCAGGATTCGAACCTCGGACCAAACTACCCAGTGTTCAACGTCTTTACCGCTCGGCCGCTGGTGTGCCAAAGTAACATAATGACTCTAAAAGTTTGCTCATAATTTCAAACACTTCCAATGCTTTTTTCTGTGCGTTTTAGAAAAAATGTAATATCGTTGGTTCATTGCTCAGCTTTTAAATCCATAAAACAGATAATCACTGGATCAAAGCTTAATGATTAACTGAATAGAAAATTCAGTCTGTAAACAGATGATATTTTAGGAAAAGTAAGTTGAGATGTCACAATAATACAAATACTATCAAATATCATTTGGCAAATTTGCTGGAATTTCTAAATTAATTAATTCTAAAATGTACTAGATGCACTGTGTAGGCCGCTTGCTTATGAAATTTCATGACTTTCAATTTTTTTACATAAAATTAACCAGTTTTAGTTAGAAAATTATGTAACATTTTCAGCACGGATAGATCTCGGAAGCTTTGCCTTAATTAATATATTTTTTTCAACAATGTAAAAATTCATTCTTTTATGGATGATAGAAACATCTTGACCCATAAATACATAGCTTATGAAACTTTTCTTAAAATCACATTTTTAAAGATATAACTCTAATTTTCACTTCCACAGCTTAAATTCATCATTTTATCTAAACATTTTTATCTAAACATTTTAAAATTTTATTCACAGACATAAAATACAGTATGCATTAAAAAAAAAGGTTGATCACTCTGGAAACCTACTGATTATTATTCAAAACATATACCAAACAAAGTTTGCTTTTTAGTCTAATTTAAAACTTTATGCTTATAATTATAAATCCATATTTGAACTTCATGTCACTGTATCAACATAGCTACAACTCCAAATGCCCAGTATTTGTATGGTAAATTTTATTTTTCTGTAGACATTCGCTTTTTCCTTTAGCATCGTGCTTCGCGTTGTCACACTGTAGAATTCTGATAACAATACTTTTATTTTTATAAATTACTTTATATTCGATATTCCGAGACAGCGTTATTTACAAGGGTTTTTTAAACATCAGCTTTATATTCGAAAGAAGCTTTTTACTGAGCAGCATAATGACCAAGGAGCTACTATACAGTCGAATTCGAATACATCCTTTTAAAAAAAATAGTAAAAAATGTCTCTCACAGGGCATGGAACCATTTTTGTTGCCATACAATATTTAAATAGATAATTGTCACTAATTAAACGTTTTCATAGATTTGAAAGATACTTTTGAAGATTTTATTTTCAAAAGTTTTAACCATATTTTTTACAATACATTGCGTCTGCTCTGTCATTTCTAATGAAGAAAATTGCTAATAGTTCTCGTGAGACGAAGAGAATGAAATATATTTTCGCTAATTTTTAAAAACATTGTTGTGCGGAGCGAATGGCGTGCTATTAAAAGTGTTCCCTACAGCAATCGTGTTTCTTTTTTCCTATCGAACGTTTTGGTGGTCCATCCTCAAGGCCTTATAACGCATCTTCTTTGAGAGTTCCTTGACCAGGAACTTTCTCTTTGTTGTTTGGTCAAGGTGACTTCATAAACAAGAAAATGTTTAATACAGAAGGTCGTTCAAGCAAGTTCAATTCTTGTTTATTTTTAACAGTTCTTAAACTATCCTTTGACATATAAACTGTGGTAGAAATATATATATATATATATTGACTTATAAACTGTCCTAGAATAATATATATTATTGCATTTGAAATGATTCACTAAAATAATGTTACAACATGTATTCAAAATAGAAAATAACAGGCATCAGACAAAAACCGAAACACAGGAGTTACTTTAGAAATTTTGTGCAAACATTATCTGTAAGAATAATGAAGCAGATTTGTTTTCTCACCAGATGAAACGTTGAAATATGATTACTTAAATATGCCATTTATAAGACTGCATTTCAATTGGACCACAGTTACATTGTTTGAATCCGATTAAGAATAGAAAAAGATATGTCTTTTTTAATAGGGAACGTTATTGTATCAGGACAGGACAGGAACAAGTACAGGGGACACCACGCCATCGCAATTGACAAAAATGGTATAGCCCCCATGCACTTACCTCTCTAGCGTACCACCCCTTCCATAGGGGACCTGATTACGGTAAGCATAGGACATAGTACTAACAACATATAAGACATACGTTCGCCATTAAATTTCTGAGCTCATAAAATACTCTTGTACATTAGGATTTTTTGGAAGCAACAGAGGTTGAAAAATTAGCAACCGCCTTGGCCGGGAATTGAACCATGGACCTCTGAAATACTGGTTCAGTGTACTGACCACTACATCACGAAAGCTCGCTAGGAAGGCGGGAGAAATACCTTATATTCTGACGAAAAAATTAAATGAATAATTATATAAAACTCAGATAGCTAGAAAAATATTGAAGTGTGACTTACATAAGATCTTCGTATGACTGGCATCGTCATTCATGATTGGCATAGCTATAAAACACAGAATTGCCTATTTCTGCAAAAAACAATAAATAAATAAAAATTAAAAAAATTAAATAAGAACATAAGAATACACGATACAAAATAAGCAAGAATTAATGTTACAGCTTTTTATAAATGCACAGAGAAAACATTAATTAACTGTGCCAATACTCCTCACTGAAATGGAAGCTTTACAGTAATTTTCAATGCTATGTATTATATCGTCCAGGATTTCCTGAGTTTATGCTCCCGGTAAGTGCTAATTGGAGGCTGCAGGAATGCGGTCGGCGTCTTGGTACATCCCATGCATATTTTATCAAATTTAAATCTAGAGATGTCAGGAACACTCCATCTACTGGATCCCTTCGCCCTCCCTCTAACTGGTCTGCAATGCAGAGCAATGTGATGGGCATTATCGTCCAGTAGAATAAAGTTATAACCCGTCTCACTGCTTAACAACTTGGTATAAGGTATAAGGATGAATAACCCCATCTCTATATACACTGAAGTAACAAAAGTCATGGGATAGCAATATGCAAATATACAGATGGCAGTAGTATCACGTAGAAAATGTATAAATGCGAAGTGCTTTGGCAGGGCTTTCATTTGTGTTCAAGTTATTTCATGTGAAGAGGCTTTGACGTGATTATGGCCGCACGACGAGAATTAACAGACTTTGAACGCGGAATGGTAGTTGGAACTAGACGCATGGGTCGTTCCATTTCGGATATCGTTAGGGAATTCAACATTCCGAGATCCATAGTGTCAAGAATGTGCCGACGAGACCAGCGACGTCTGAGTAGAGTTGTCAATGTTCACAGACAAGCAACACTGCGTCAAATAACCGCAGAAATCAATGTGGGACGTACGAGGGACGTGTCCGATAGGACAGTGCGGCGAAATTTGTCTTCCTTGGGCTATGCCAGCAGAAGACCGACTTGAGTGCCTTTACTGACAGGTGACAGGTGACTGCAAGCCCTGGACACCCGCACGACTTTGCCAAAGGCTACTCGGGTGTAGTCCAGGACCCGCAACTATCTAGAAAAACACCCCTCAGGGCCGCCCGAGCCTCCCGCGCCTGGCGCCGAAACCCAAAGCCTAATTCACTGCATTTGCAGTTGTGCATGCCAATGTGGGAAAAGAGCATCCCTCCTGGTGCACAGTCCTCCAGCCGCCCAGGCCCCAGTATTTATTTAGATTTAAATCCTAATAATACATGGTCATACAAGGGCATTAGGCTCGTTGGGGCCCTCTGACAATTTGTTGTTTAATACATGGCCATACAAGGGCTTCGCTGCTTCTTGATTATACATATTTGTATACATGATGGTTGGAAGTACATGCTAAATAATGATAAATACAATGCTATACACTACATTATACTTTTCATACATTACAATTATATACTCTATGCTCACACCCTTATGCTGTACATTTCATAATCAATTCGGAAACATGCTATAAGAGCTGATGGTAGGGTTCAGTGTGGCCTTTACTGACAGCACGACATCGCCTGCAGCGACTCTCGTGGGCGTGAGCATATCGGTTGGTCCCTAAACGAATGGAAAACCGTGGCTTGGTCAGATGAGTCACGATTTCAGTTGGTAAGAGCTGATGGTAGGGTTCGAGTGTGGCGCAGACCCCACGAAGCCATGGACCCAAGTTGTCAACAAGGCACTGTTCAAGCTGGTGGTGGTTCCATAATGGTCTGGGCTGTTTTTACATGGCATGGACTCGGTCCTCTGGTGCAACTGAACCGATCATTGACTGGAAATGGATACCTTCAGCTACTTGGAGATCACTTACAGCCATTCATGGACTTCACGTACTCAAACAACGATGGGATTTTTATGGATGACAATGCGCCATGTCACCGGGCCACAATTGTTCGCGATTGGTTAGAAGAACATTCTGGACAATTCCAGCGAATGATCTGGCCACCTAGATCGCCCGACATGAATCCCATCGAACATTTATGGGACATCATCGAGAGGTCAGTTCGTGCCCAAAACCCTGCACCGTCAACACTTTCACAATTATGGACGTCTATAGAGGCAGCATGGCTCAATATTCCTGCAGGGGACTTCCAACGACTTGTTGAGTCCATGCCACGTCGAGTTGCTGCACTTCGCCGGGCAAAAGGAGGACCGACAAAATATTAGGAGGTATCCCATGACTTTTGTCACTTTAGGTTTTCAATTTATTATTCTCCGAATTTCAATAAAAACCTCGTGCTAATAATAAAGTTCCCAGTTTCACGATTTCCCCTTTGCAACAGTTCAACTTCCTATAATACTAACTTCGCCTGTATTTCCAAACTATTATAGAATTAAAGCAGCTTTTTGTATTTGTTCATTTAATTTGTTTTCTTTAGTGTGTTTGATAACATCTGAAATTTCCGTTAAAATAATACGCCGAATAATGAATATTACGTTAAACAACAAGAATCAATGTAACGTAACGTAATGTATCGTTACATTGATTTAATCAGCGTAACGTAATGTACATCCCATTACGCTGATTCTTCTTGTTTAACTTCTTCAATAACATCTGAAATATTTAAGGGTTGCATACAAAATTGTTTGTAGTGCAATAGATGACAAATTCTAGTTCAGTATATTTGGTGCAGTACATCCTCCAAATTTAGATTATTCAACTGCAATTTCTGCAGGTAAATCTTTATACAATGGTTATACTATAAGGATGTAGGGATTTATATTTATTTTAACAAATATTTTCAATTTCAAGTCCAGACTTTTCTATAAGCCTTCATTCCCCTAATCGTCAGTGCCAGAATAGTTAAATGTTGTAGCGAGCGTGAATGCACGCAAGTTTTATATGTTGAAGGAAGTGGTTCAAAGCCGAGTTTCGATATTAGAAAGGGAGAGTTCAGTACAATATACAAATATTTATCTCAGATGTAACAGGACTGCAGATGATCTCCAGAACATCTCAAAGGGAAGCATGTATGATACTAATAGAGCAGAAGTGTTGGCCTTTTTAGGAATTTTATTCTTATTAGGGTGCAAAAAAATGTCAAAACTCAATTTGGAGGAAGCATGGGCAAAAGACGGTACTGGTCAGAAACCTGTGTGCTGCTATTAGATTCGACGATAAAGGCACAAGGTATGTGCGAAGAAAAACTGATAATCTTTCAATCAGAACTGTCAAAACTTTTATACACCAGGTGACGAACTCACAATCGACGAGAAGTTGGAAGCCTTTCGCAGGAGATGCTCTTTTATCCAATTCATCCCCAACAAGCCCGCAAAGTACGGTATGAAACTTTTTGCAGTTGTTGAATCACAAACGTTTTATACATTGAAGCTTGAAATTTACTGTGGCAATCATCCCCCAGGACCTTACGAGGCTTCTAATTCAAGTAATGACATTGTCAAAAGGCTAATTTTTGCGTACGAAGGTTCCAACCGTAACCTAATGACTGATAATTGGTATACAAGCTACCCGCTAGCTCAATATCTTCTTACCAAGGGTATAACACTTTGGGCACGCTGAAAAAAATAAAGGAATTCCAAATGAATCCGCCATCAAAACAAAGAAGTCGGCGTTCACTGTTTGGTTTTCAAAGGATATGACAAATGTTTCATATGCAACGAAAAAATAAGTGTGTAGTACTCCTCAGTACTTTACACGATGATGACAAAATTGACCAGGAACAATAAACCTCAATAATCCTGGATTGTAACAAATAAGGCGGAGTTGACACCATAGAACCACTTGTAGTAATTTCACTGTCGCCCGAAAACCCAAGAGTAGACAATGGCAATATTTTTTGCACTGCCAAACGTAGCGGGCATAAATTCGCAAGTGCTCTTGAACTTCGCCAAACCTGAAGCAACTATCAAGTTTATAAGATATTTTTTGGAAAATCTAACTGCATCTTCGATGAAATTACATCTTCCGAATTGTCTGAAAAGGTGTCCCCCGATAACATCGCGACAAAAACATCGCGGACGAAAACGTCGTGGAGAAAACAACGCAAGGCGAAAACATCGTGCTACAAAACATCGTGGGAGAAAACATCGCAAAGAGAAAACATCGCAGTCCTAAAACATCGTGGTACAAAACATATCGTCGCGAAAAAAGCGTTCAAAAACTTCGCAATTTAAAAACGTCGTCGTCGAAAAATCGTGGTAAAAAATAAAGTATCTACAATCATCGCATGACGATAACATCGCAGACATGCTTTTTCCACACATGCTTTAATAACTGTAAATGAATATTCCCATAAAGATTTGTGAGCGCAAAATGTAAAGAAGGATAATTTTTACTTTCACATTTTTATTAACTAATAAATTTTTTCTGAAAAAGTAAGAAGGAACTTAAGCATAGAAAATTAAATGCACTTATAGATTATACTTTTCATGAAAATTACCAGTAAAAACTTTATAAGAAATGATTTATTAATGGCCTTTGTTAGTTAACTATGTCGGTTTAAACTTCTATTAATTGCTATAAGTTGCATTAATTTGCTATGCTTAAGTTTCCTTCTTACGTTTTCAGAAAAAATTTATTAGTTAATAAAAAAATGTGAAAGTAAAAATTATCCTTCTTTCCATTTTGCGCTCACAAATCATTATGCGAATATCCATTTACAGTTATTAACGCATGTTTGCGAAAAGCATGTATGTAAAAAGCATGTCTGCGATGTTATCGTCATGCGATGATTTGTAGGTACTTTATTTTTTACCACGATATTTTCGACGACGATGTTTTTAAATTGCGAAGTTTTTGAACCGCTTTATTTTCGACGACGATGTTTTAGGATTGCGATATTTTCTCTTTGCGATGTTTTCTCCCACGATGTTTTGTAGCACGACGTTTTCGCCTTGCGTTGTTTTCTCCGCGACGTTTTCGTCCGCGATGTTTTTGCCGCGATGTTTTCGGCTGTAACCGTCTGAAAATGCCATTTTTCCTGTCGCATTCCAAAGCTATTATTAGAAGGCTGGTAACAACAAAAACTGACAAGACGGCAGAAAGGGACGAGGAACTACCTGCAAAAAAGATCAAAGG